AGCACTGCTATCCAGGGATATGTCAACATTCCTCTCACTGAATTTTTTTGTCTATGGCAGGTGTGTGCCTTACCTAAGCTATCTGGAATATTTGCTACCTCCTGTTCACCAAATCAATTAGCATGATATTATCAATGTAGTAGATTAGAGTGATGTTCTATGGGATGTCCAGATGATCAAGGCCCCGAGGGACTGTATGATGACAGAGTTCAAGAGTAGACATGGCCCTGAAGTAAGACCGTTAAGGTGTATCGCTGTTCCTGACAAGTAAAAATTTGCTGCTTCTGATTTTCCTTGCTAATTGATATGAGGGGAAAATGATTTCCTAGATCAATAGCTGCATACCAGATGGCAGGATTATGTTGATTTGCTGCAGCAAAGATACCATATCTGGATTAGAAACTGTGAGTGGATCAGAAACTGAGTATCTGTCTAGTTTTGCCACTGGCCAAACACAGGAATTAGCAGAGGTACATCTGTCAAATCTTTGAGGGTAACACTAATTAGTCTCTGCCATTCCCACAGGCATGTGGTATTGTTTTTATCTTATGATTTTTTTTTTTTTTTGAGACTCACTCTGTTGCCCAGGCTAAAGTACTGTGGCATCATCATAGCTCACAGCAACCTTAAACTCCTGGGCTCAAGTGATCCTCCTGCCTCCTCTGAGTAGCTGGGACTAGAGGTGCGTGCCACCACGTCCAGCTAATTTTTCTATTTTTGGTAGAGACGGGGTCTTGCTCTTGCTTAGGCTGGTCTTGAACTCCTGAGCTCAAGCAATCCTCCCACCTTGGCCCCCCAAAGTGTTAGGATTACAGGCGTGAGCCACCACACCCAGCCTGGTTTATGATTTTGTTAGAGAAGGGAAGTTCCAGGGGCTTCTACTTGGCTCTACCTATCATAAGAGTCCTTTCTCCATGGGTCAGGGAGCTAGTGCAGGGATTTTGCCAGTTGACAAGCACGTCTAGTCCAAATATGCATTTAGGGCCTGGGGAAATAAACTCAGAATGAGTCTATAGAACCCATTAAACCTTCTGTGTGATGGGCTTGGATAAAAATTTCATTTATTACCTGACCACCCAAAGCACTCAATCTATCCAGGGGTTCCCAAGGATTAGCATTAACTCAGAGCAGTGCGTAATAATCTCCTTAAAAGTTTAAATATCCTTTTCCTCAGTCACAGTCATCCTGCTAATAGCCACAGTTCCTGTAGGGAAAAGCTTGGAGTATATAGTTGTGACAATGTTTCAGTGTCCTTCCTCAAGAGGACCCAACTTCTGCTTCAATCTCTGGACCCTGCGTATATGAAGCAACTTAAGTCTGGGAACTAAACGAGAGTCTATGACTTCCTTTTGTGCTGCACATCTATTTCATTCCTAGGGACCCTGTTATCATTTAGCACCTCCACAGGTCCCTGAGGGTCAAAACATTCTGATTGCCTGCTGCCTACTATGGTAATTGTGCCACTTTGCCTCTGATGGTGAAGTATTGACATATGGCCTTTGCCACTCTACCAATATTCCCACTGAAATCAGAAGACCCTCCCAATCATCCTTGGTCTAGAGAGGACAGTCACTGCAGAACTTCGGAGGATGCCTATGCCTCTCTCACTAATGTTTTCTTAATGTCCTAGCACCGTCTGTGCCCTCCCAGGAAACACAGTCAGCAGGTGAGCACAATTCCGGCCACATACTAAATGCTCAATAAAATTTAACTACTTCTATCTTTTATTATAGCATAATTACTCAAAGAGGGGCTCTGGAGTCAAACAGACCTAGGTTCAAATTCTGGCTCTACCTCTTGCTAGCTCCAAGAAAAATAAATCTAGGGCTTTGTTGATTTGTAAAATGGGATATATTACCTAATTCTCAGGGTTGTTGCCAGACAAAATGAGATTGTGTGTGTGTGTGTGTGTCTAGAGAGAGAGAGAAAGGAAGAAGTGAATTCCAGGATCTGAATATATTTTATTTTGTCTGGAGCACAGGGTGGTTGAAGGAATGGTCTAGAAATGAGGCTGTATAGGTCAATAAACCTGACCTTCAGGGCCTTGTAGGCCATAACAAGGAACCTGGAGGAATGGTGGAGCCAGTCCAATAGTCCATAGGACGAGTGTGCCCTATAGGGCAGGCTAGGTTATGCGGCAGTAACAAATGTCCCCAAGCATCTGAATGGCTTACCAAAACAGCTTCTCTCTGAAACAAATTGTTTGTGGCAGACAGAAAAGAGAAATGTTGAACCCACAAGCTGACTCTTAAAGCTTCTGCTTGGAATTGACACTCCTGCTTACATTTTATTGGCCAAAGCAAGTCACATGGTCAAGTCTGCCATCAGTGGGGCCAAGGAAAGTACACAATGGAGGGGCACCAGAATATTTGGCAGATCAATAAGATGAACAGATTCTGTGGCAAAATAAAATGAGTGGTAACTCAACTAAAAAATGGGGAAAGGATTTGAATAGACATTTCTCCAAGACAATACAACAATAGCCAATAAGCACGTGAAAATGCACTATCAGGGAAGTGCAAATCAAAACTACAATAAGATACCACTTCACACCCAGTAAGATAATAAATAATAAAAAAGGCAGAGAATAACAAATGTTGGGTGTGGAAAAACTGGGACCTCATATACTGCCGGTGGGAATGTATAATGGTGCAGCTGGTTTGGTAAATCACCTGACAGTTTCTGAAAAAGTTAAACATATAGTTACTATATAGCCCAGCAATTCCAGTTCCAGATATATACCCAAGATAAATGAAAACATATGTCCCCCACAAAAACTTATAAGCAGCATTATTCACAATAGTCAAAAAGTGTAAATAACCTAAATGTGCTTCAACACATGAATGAATAAATAAAAGGTGGCATATGGTCCAAACAATGGAATATTATTCAGCCATAAAAAGGAATGAAATATCAATATGTGCTACAATGTAGCTTCACCTTGAAAATATTATGCAAAGTAAAAGAAGCCAGTTACAAAATACTACATTTCATGATTTCCTTTATATGAATTGTCCAGAATAGGCAAATCTATGCATATGGAAAGTAGATTAGTGGTTGCCTGTGGTTGTGGGGTTGAGGGAAAAATGGGAGAATAACTGTAAATGAGTACACAGGATTTCTTTTTGTGGTGATGAAAATATTTTAAAATTGATTATAGCGTTGGTTGCACAACTCTGTGAACATACTAAAAACCATTGAGTCGTACACTTTAAGTGGGTGAATTGTATGGTATGTAAATTATATCTTAATAAAACTGTTATGCATGTATATAAGAAAGATGAATGTTTTTTATTTATGTCATTGATTTTGAGAGATTCCAGTGGAGATGACCGGTAGGTAGTTAACCATATGGATCTGGATCTCAGGAGCAGAAATCAGAGTTGGAGATACATATGGGGAAATCAAAAGCATAATGATGTTAAGTTATACGAAAGGTAGCAATCGCATATGGAGAGTATGTCCAGTGGAAAAGGAAAAAGAGTGAGGGCTTTCACCTATCCCTGCAGGATACTAGCAACTAAGGGATGGGAGCAATAATAAGAGATGTCAAAAGAGATGGAGAGGGAGTCGTTAGAGACGGAGAAGTGAGATCAAGAGAGGAAAAATGGAAGGCAAGGAAAGAGTTTCCAGAAGGAAAGAGTTCCATGCAGAGATATTGAGTTATGTCATGATGATAATGCCCACAGGATCTGCTGTAGGGAAACCTCTACTGACTTTGGAAAGAATGGTTTCCATGGGGTGGTAGGCCAGAAACCAGAGTGCAGTAAGTCCAGACACCAGTAATAGTTGAGGAATTGGAGGCACCCTTCTTTAGATAATTGGAGAAATGTAGCTGTGAAGGGCAGGTCTGAAAGGAGGAAAAAGAAAGCAGAGGTTCAAGTGGAGTCTGGTGGGTTGGGTGAAAGATTTCAAGATGGGAGAGACTTGAGGTTGCTTATGGGAATGAAAGGAAGAGGAGATAATTGTTAAGAGTAAGGCCTTGACCACCTTTCATGAAACTGTAGTATGGTCCCTACTCCATGCCCCTTATCCTGTTCATTTTGTTTACTGTAGTGCTTATCAGCTTATCATATAATTTACTTATTAAGTTTACTATTTACTGTCTGTCTCCACCCTGCTCCAAGAAGGCAGAGACTTTTGTCTATTTTGTTCATTTACTAAGTCCAAGCTTCTAGAACAGTATCTGACATATGGCAGGTGCTCATTAAGTATCTGTTGAATAAATGAATGAAAGAGCTAATTTTCTCATTAGGCAAGAGGGGAGAGGAGCCAGAACACAGCCAACAATACGGTCCCTGCCTTCACAGCGCTTATGTCCAACTGTGGGGCAGCTCCACTGGATTCCACGACTTCCTGCTACTGCGGGTAACGAGGGAGAGGAAAGGTAAAGAGCCTGCTTTCCGGAGGGATGAAAAATGATGGGGAATATTTGATAGTTATGGCCTGCGTCGAGTCTATTTTGTTCAGAACTGTGATCTAAATATCGCTAAAGTGTTTGGTTGGTCATGCATTTATGCTGTCTCAGAAGTATTTTAAATATTATTAGGTCTTTGCACCTCCGCCCTCGAAGCCCGGCACACTCGAGGGGCGGGATAGGGCTCTGCCGGCGGCTCAGCGCGCTTTCTCGCGAGGCGGGCCTCGGGTCCTCAATCTGTGCGCCAACTGTGATGATAAGCAGGCGAGGGGAAGAGACTGATTCCAAGAGCCGGGCCTGTGTGGCCAAAAGCGGCGGTGCGAGCGCAGCCCAGAGAAAGGAACAGCTTCGGGCATACAGCCGCGCCCAGACACGGAACCAAACTCGCGCCCCTACCTCCCGCCTCGGCGGCCCAATGCCGCGAGCCCGGCTGCGCCTGCGCGCGGGCGGCCGGAGCGGCCAGCAGCGAGCCGGGAGCGCCGCGGCCGCTGCCGCTGGGAGTCACGTGGCGCGCCGGACGCCGCCCCGCCCCTCCGAGGCCGCCCCGCCCCGCCCTGCGTCCTGGCGGGACGCTCTGAGCAGCCCCGAACTGCGCAGCGCGGCTAGGGGTGAGTGTCCGCGAGGGCCGCGCATTGCGCACACCCGGGCGGGTCCGGGCCTGGGCGCGGGACGGCTGAGTGTGTTGCGGGGGCCAAGGGGACAAAATGGCGGCGAAATACGCCCTTTCACCCTTTCCCCTCACCTTGGAGTGCGGGCGGAGGGGGCAGAGATCGTTGCTGGGGGAGGGGAGCCGCGGGCGCTCGGGAGGGCCCTGGGGTCGGTTGAGGAAGTCTTCAGGGTGGAGGCGAGAAGGTGCCGGGCCTTTCCTGGAGGGCGGCTGCTTGCCCTTCGGTCTCAGCTGGGGTGTGAGGGGCGTGGGACACGGCGTGTGCGGGGCCCCGGCCGCGCGTGACGAGGCTTCTGGAATGTCGGCACTGCAAGGGACCTCCAGAGGAGCCTCCCTCCCTTCCCTTCATTTGACAGGTGATCGGCATCGCCATCTCTCATTCTCAGCTGGGTTCACCGTGCTTTCGCTGCAGGCGACTCTGGTCTTAGCTCTGCCCGGGAAGCAGGGCGGGAATGGTCTCCATCTATCAAGTGCTTACACTGAGGCCCGGAGGGGTGAAGGGTTTAACCAAGACCTCACACCTGGGAATAGTCGGGTCTAGCCTCCTGCTTCTGTTAGTGCTCTTTTCTCTGCAGCTGCTTCATGCCTTTCCGTCACACTGTTTTCCAGTCGCGTTCGTGGAACCAGGCTAGAGTCACAGGCTCCAGTGAGTGACAGGATTGTTAGAGAGCAGGCAGAAAATTGGTCTTCCAAGCGCATCTGCTGCTGTCGAGGGGCTGTCCCTCGCTGAGATGGGGCCGCCTGCCCCAAGGGCAGCTTCCTGATGCTGGTGGACTGTGTTTCTCATTCTGTTTGTGCCAGGTTATTTTCCATGAAAATAGCTATTCACTATAGTCAACTTACTGAATAAATGCTAATTCCTTACGTGTATTGCAGTTTGTTTTAGTTAAAGATTGATTTCATCAACATGATCTTTTCATCCTCATAAACAATCTGAGGTAGGAGGAGAGATGGGACAGGCGTTATGCTCGTTCTAGAAATGAGGGAACTGAGGCTCACAAAGGTTATTACTTGTTCTAGATCACCAGCTGGTGAGCGATAGATCTGGGAGTAAGCTGTCTGACCACTGTCCTACTCTGGCCTATATTGGTGCTCTGTCCCTTGTATTTTTTTCTGTTAACATTGACTTTTCTTCAAAACTTGTTGGGCGCAGATTGATTTATGCCACATATTGAAATGATTTGAATAATATCCACTAAGGAATTAATACTTTTAATTAAAGAGTCAGTTTCTAATATGATTTGCAAAGTTGGCTTTGTGGGAGGAAGTATGATCTGATGGCTTGGAAGGCAGACTGATCGGAGTTTGAATCTCAGCTCCACCACTTGTCCTTTGGCAAATTAATTTTTCTGAGCCTTCATTTCCTTATCTATAAAAAAGGAATAATTTCCATTTCGTAAATGTATTGATAGCAATAAATGAGGTATCCGTAAGCATTTAGAACCGTTCCTGACCCATGATAAGCCTTCAACAAGTGTTTCTCCTTTCCTTCTTTCTCCCCACTCCCTTGAGCTGCATTTTAAAAATTCTGTATGTGTCTTAGTCCACTTGGGCTTCTATAACAAAATACCTTAGACTGGGTGGCTTATAAACAACAGAAATTTATTTCTCACAGTTCTGGTGGGTGGGAAGTCCAAGATCAGCATGTCAGCAGAATCATGTTTAGTGATGGCCTGCTTTCTGGTTAACATATGTGGCACCTTGTAGCTGTGTCCTCACGTGCTGGAAAGGGTGAAGGGGTATCTCTCTGGCCTCTTTTATAAGAGCATTAATCCCATTCATGAGGGCCTTGCCCTTATAATCTGATATCCAAAGGCCCCACCTCCTAATACTGTCACCTTGGGAGCTAGGATTTCAACATACGAATTTTGGGAAACACAAACATTCAGATAATAGTGCGATGGTTACCCCCCTGGTTATTCAGGTAAACAATCATGGCATCATAATCAGTGTTATTATACCAATGTATTTATAAATGAATAATTTTGGTGACTAGGGTCCGAAGGATATATTGTTTTAGAGACAGACTTGAAAAATGTTTGTCCTGTGTTCTTTATAGGTATTTAACATATTGACTACCACACCAGAAAAAAAAGTTATTCTGGGTGCCATGGTGTTTTATTAAAACAAAACGATCCTTCCTAATTTGTTATTTTTTATTATTTTCTGTGCCTGAGTTATATGCAGTGCAATCCACATTTTTAGAATTAAATCGTCAATTGTAACAATGAGAACATCAAGTAAGATTTTCACGAACCAATTGCAGGGTTTTGCTTCACGAGGCCCCAGGTCAAAACTAGCCTGAGTTAAATACAATTCACATGGCAGTCAATGTGTTAAGAACCACTAAAAGATTGATTTGCTATCAAGACTTAATTAATGCCTTCATTTAACTACAAGAATGTAGTTAAATAAGATGAAGAGACTTGAGATTCTGTCTTTTCTTTCCCCTTCATATCAACCATAGCCCAACTTAGTTTTATTTATTTTTTTAGAGACTCCATTTTTTATTTAAAGACTAGTAGGTAAATCAAAATTTCAAAATATGGAAAAGATAATTACTCAGCATCAACATTTTCCCCCTTTTCCGTGTTTATGGAATCTTCTTAGATTTAATGTGTCAATGTATACTGCACAAAGGGATGAATCATCATTTGTCTAAACTTGTCACGACATTCCTATTATTTCCAGGTTTTTATCTCTAAGTGTCCTTGTAGCTCTGGTGTCCATGGTTCTAAGTATGGCCAAAGGAATGGGTGTTTTTTTTTTTTTTTTTTTGACAATATTTTGCTTCTATGGATAAAGGGACCAAGATTTTTGTAACCAAAAAATAGCCTTTTGCCCCTGTTCCTTTCTTCTACTAGGAATATTGGTCAAGGACCTGGCGGTTGGGTTTAATGCAGCCTATTTGTGAGTTTAAGCCTCAAGTCTTATGTTTAAAGGATGAGAATGAAAAGCTAATATGTTGAAGATGGTAGGGTAGTAAAATTTACGGATTCTGGGCCCCTGATAACACTGTTGAGCCACTACATGAAACCTGGAAATACCTAGCTCCAGCTTCCTGTTATATGAAATAATTAAATGGCTTTATTGTCAAGTCATCACTAGTTAGGTTTTTATGACTTGAAACTCATGGGTCCAAATGAGGAGATATCCAGATAGTCAAAGTAGGGTTTGTGAGGAACTGAATGTTCTAAGCAGAATTGTCTGTTTATGCCAGGATACAAAGGTATAATATAGGTTGTATTAAGGAATGCACTTATGATATAGTACTGATGATGATAGTAACGACTAGCATATGGGTTCTTGCATTTTTATGGTGCAAAACTGTGCGTTGTAGAAGATTACTCTGGTGAAAGTAGCTTTGGAAGAGGGGAAGTGAATCTATTAACAGAAGTACAAAGACTAGTCCGTAGACAAATGCAGCAGCAAATCAATTGTATTAGCAGAATATTGTGTAGTTTGAGTACAGATTCCAAACCTGTGGCTGAGTTTCTACTAGTATGATCAAAAGTTTCTTTTTTCTTTGCTCTGAATAAAACTGAGCAGTGGATTCTCTATAGAAAGTGGCAAAAAAATAGATATATTACGGCATTAACAGAAGTGTTGAATGCAGGTGGGCATAATGAAATGGATAGGTGATATTTGCTACATAAATATTTGTTTCATACATAAGCAGAATTAAATTACTTATAAAATGTTAATTGGGTTGGTGATGAGATGATATAGGAAAGGGAATAATGAAATAAGTTTCCCAGATTTGTGATTTAAGTAATTGTGTGGACAATGGTAAGATTGGTTAAAGCAGGTATATGAGAAGGAGAATAGGCTTACCTTTTCGTGTGATCCTGCATATTTTGGTTATTTAATTCCCGTAATATTTGTCAGTAGTTATCCCATATTGATTACTTAGCAGTTTATACCTAAAAGATCTCTTTGGTTATTAGCTATTAAATTATCTGTTCTTCTATGAAATTGGTAAGTTCTGCTAAAAACTGACCCCCCTCCCCCAAAAAAACCCAAAAAACAAAAAAGTCCAAAGCTTGGTTCCATAAGTAAAAATTACACCCTATTTTTACCATCTATAAATCAAAACTCTATACAAATTGGATTAGTTACAAAAGGAAAAACCTAAGGACAGAACTCTTCCGTGTTTTTTATGAGTGTTAATAAACTATACTTATTAGTATAGAGATCATTTGTGTGACTCATTTTTGAAAATTGTTTACATACATGCAATAGAGTTGACTAAATTCATGGGCACATTATTGCCTATAAATTGGCCAGAGCTTGGATATAGTACTTTTTTTTAATTTCAAAATATTATGGGGGTACAAATGTTTTTGGTTACATGGATCACTTTTGTAATGCTTGAGTCTGGGCTATAAGTGTACCCGTTACCCAGATAGTGTTCATCGTACCCGTCCAACCTAGTTTTAAAAGAGAAACAAAAATTCTTTGGGAATCTCATGTGAACATTCTTTAAACACTTAAAAAGTGGTAGTGTTAGGCCTGGCGCAGTGGCTCACGCCTGTAATCCCAGCTCTCTGGGAGGCCCAGGCGGGCGGATTGTTTGAGCTCAGGAGTTCGAAACCAGCCTGAGCAAGAGCGAGACCCCGTCTCTACCAAAAATAGAAAGAAATTAATTGGACAACTAAAAATATATAGAAAAAATTAGCCGGGCATGGTGGCGCATGCACCTGTAGTCCCAGCTACTCGGGAGACTGAGGCAGGAGGATTGCTTGAGCCCAGGAGTTTGAGGTTGCTGTGAGCTAGGCTGATGCCATGGCACTCTAGCCGGGGCAACACAGGAGACTCTTTCCCAAAAAAAAAAAAAAAAAGTGGTAGTGTTATTTAGTGGGAAGTTTAACAGAATTCTCTAATGATGCAATCTGATATCCATTATAGAATTGGTATTTCTGAAATTGTAGAAGTGAAAAC